GGGGGGGGGGGGGGGTCAGCCCCGCTGGCAGGCTCGCTTGGCTCCGGCCCACCCTCCTTCCTAGTGTTTCCACACCAGTCGCCTCTCAGGAGCCCCAGCCTTCTCTGTGATGGTGTATCTGGCAGGAGGGAAAAGCAGGACCCCACAGACCCACCCCCACAGTGTGGGAGACCACCGGGGCTCCACTGCACAGGCAGGGAAACCCGGGCCCAGGGAGCTCAGGGGGCACTGGGGCGGGGCGGGCCGTGGGCGGGGCCTCGCGCGCAGCCAGGGGTGGGGCCGTGGGGGGGGCCTCACCTGCAGCCGGGGGTGGGCATAGAACTCGTTCAGAAAGTCCATGAGCAGGTCGATCTTGAGGGAACTGACACACAGGATCACGTGCTTCTCCGTCTGGGCCCGGTGGCGGCTGTAGTTGCCCCCCGACTTCTGCCGCTCCATCCACAGGTAGACGAGCTCCTCAAACTGCAGGTAAGAGCGCGTGAGCTCCAGGAGGCCTGGGGCTCCGGAGCTGCGACAGCAGCGTCCCGACCACGTCTCGGAAGACCACGGGCAAAGTCTGTGGCACAGGTCACTCAAGGGGCCAGGCGGGGGCAGAGTGGACGGTCCCGCCAGTGTGTGGGGTAGTGAGTGACATGGCAGGTCCAGCTCCCAGCCCCAGGAGGCCAAGCAACCGTTAGTGGATGCCGAACTATACACTCCGAGCATCCAGGTAGCTGAGACCTCTGGGTCTCCATCAGCACCTGAGACACGTTTTGGAGAAACCTGGAAACGTGTCTTAGAAAAGCCTCAGGCATAGAATGAGGGACCCAGGTGCCCGGCATGGAAGGAGAACTTTGAGTACCATGGTTCTGAGCCCACGTCAAGGGTGTGGGTGATTCGAGGCTGCCGTCTGGGGGGTGCCGTCCACCCTGGCCCACGCTTCCTGGCTGTGAGCTTTGGGTGTGGAGAGCCCTTTGTAAGTAGGACAGTGACACATCCATAAAGGTGCGCTGGCGGTGAGGGGACTCCAGGCTCCACGGAGCTGACCGGGGTGCTGACCTGCCCAGGGCCTGCCGCTACTGTCCGACTTCCCGTCTGTGGGTGACAGCCAGACCCCGTGAAAGCACTGAGGTCGTTCATTTTTTTCCCACACAATTTAAAATGAATGGCAGCAGCCACACCCTCTGGTTCTCACCTGCTCTGGGTGACGTGCTGTATCTTGCTAAGGGGAGATCATCTCATTGAATTTATTGAGCACCTACTAGGTTCCAGTGACAAGGCCCTGTGGCCTTGAAGCACAGGACTGGGCCCTAGTGGGAGGAGCCGGAGACCCCAGGGTGATCCCTGAGGCCTGTGCAGGACTGGGGCTCTGACGGCAGACACCTGGATTCAAGCCTCCCACGTCACAGGTGTGGCCCTCCGAACGTGACCTTATTTGGAAATAGGGTCTTTGAGGCTGTAATGAGTTAAGATGAGGTCAGACTGGATTAGGGTGGGCCCTACATCCAGTGGCCGGTGTCCCGTAACGAGAGGAGAGGACACAGAGGTGCTGGAATAAGCCACGTGGAGACGGAGGCAGAGCTGAGAGGGATGCGGCCACAAGCCCCAGGACGCCAAGGACCATGGCACCACCAGAAGCTGGAGACGCGGAAGCGGAGCGTCCCTTCAAGCCTCTAGGACCAGCCCTGCTGACACCTGGGTCTCAGACTCTGGCTCCAGACTGTGAGAGAGTAAATTTCTGTTGTTTAAGCCCCCACCCCCCCCGCTTGCGGAGTGCTCTGTTCCGGCAGCTGCAGGAAGCACTGTGCTGATGTGTGAAACTCAGCCCTGAGAGGGAAGGATGCTGTCAGCTGTCGTCACTGTTACTCTGCGAGGCACATCTACAGGTGGGCATTTCCTTGTCACCGTGTCTAAAGGTGCTAACTGGTGAACGTGGTTAAAGAAAGAACGAAGGACAGTAACTGGGACCGTCCCTTTCCATCACTGACAACAGATTAGTCAGTCTCGCGGGTCCTGACCATCCACCAGCCCTGGAGGATGGTTTGTGTCTCCGATACCGGGCCCTGCGGCCTCCCTCTCCTTGGGGCTTGGGCGCCAGCCTGGCCTGGGTGATGGGATGTAAGCGCCAGCTCTGAACGGCCCCTGCACCTGCCAGGAGCGTGGGGGCCAGAGCACCGCAGGGCCAGAAGCTCCACAGCCGTGGGACAAGGGCACAGCCTTGCGGAGGCGTCCAGGATGCTGGCACCGTTTACTTGAAACCACACACGACTCCTCTGTGCACTCAACGGGGGCACACACACGGGTGACAGCCCCCAACCCCACAACCTGCCCCGGGGAGGGGAGACCGTCCCTTCTCTCTCCTGATGCAGCTCCTGAGTGGGACAGACTTGCCATGCTTGAAAAAGTTCCGGATAGTAATGTGAAAGTATAATTTTAAACTTAAAGAAATATGATTAATTAGAATTAAAAACATAAAACAAATAATGATGTTCATAACTATATAACTAAAAATGCAACTTATAACAAAAAGTAATTAACGTATATAAATTTAGATGGCTAAAATATTAAAAATACGATTTAGAAAAACATGATTGTATAAAAATATAATAAAACGTGAACATGGATTCTAAAAGCAGCCAGGGCCCTGTGAAAGTGGACGGCCCACCTTGAGGTGCTCTGTGGCCTGAGGGGGCTCTGCCGGGGGCGGGGGGAATGGGGGGAG